ATTAATTTTTTATAAGCCGACACACAAGCCGAGCCTGGACACAGTCATGTTCGGCTCGTTTATACCCCTAACATAATACGTAATTTCCATGTATTAAAAATTCTGACACCTATGCTTATAATTTGTACATATATGCTGTCGTATATATGCATAAAAATATATATTTCATTCTTTAAAAATTAAAATAGTGATAATTTTTATGCGATTTAAAAATTTTAGGCGTATAAATGTCAAAAAGACAAAAACTACAAAATCATCATTTTGCATGTATAAGATCATTAGGATTAAACTTGTGAATAAAATAAGAAGCATATAAAAAGAATTTCAAGTACTTTTAATTGGAAAAAAATTGTGTTATATACGCACCGCTGCGTACATCAGGGTTATACAGAGGGTACAATGGGGTTATATATGTGTTACACCTTCTGTAACATCCCCGTAACCTACCTATAACCTACCTGTAACTTACAAATATATGAAAATAGAACCGTGAAACTTAATAGAAGGTACAAGTAGGTTACATATATGTTGCATGAATGTTATAGAGGATATAACGTAGATATAACCCTCTTTTACTCTATGTATAACCCTGGCACACACAGAACTGCGGAGGTACGCAAAATTTTTCCCTTTGAATTATAGAATAAGCCACGCATATACGTCCAGAAATGAGCTTTGAAAATACCGTTGGGGTTATACAACCAAATAACCCTAACAGGATAACAGGACTGAGTCTCAAACAAATATTAAAAATATTGCATTTTTAATTTCTATTCTCCCAATATGGACACGTGCAATTTTTATTAATGTTTTAGTTGTCATATCTGAATATTTAATTTGAGACTTGTTTTTTTTAAATTAATTTTGTGATTAATTAAATATTTATAAATTGAACAGTATGACATGAAATATGTTAATGTAAAACTTTTAGGTTATTTTTACATAGCTTATGTGAATGAATTGAATTGTCATTGGTTATTTTAATAGGGTGAAGAGATATGATAAATAATTGGCATCTTGTTATACGGACCTCCCAAACTTCGTGCCATGTTGTTTAAGAGTCTGCCACTCATGATCATGTATGGTATCTGATACGAACAGTGTTGCAAAGCACTGGTGATACAGATAATATATTTGTCGATCAAGTAGTAAATGTTCGAAATTTGGTGATTTTAAAATTTCTAATCCTAATTTTTACAAAAAATAAAATATATAGCTAGTTTTGAGTTTGACAAGTGATAGAAAACCTCATTTTAATCGGATCTATGCAAACTAGATCTATTTAAGTGAGTCGAATGAAGTTACAACCAAGAACAATAGTTTTCGTTAGCGCATTTTCGGTATTCATAAGAAAATTGGGGTTTTCTTATTGCAGTTAGTTCCCAAATAATACAAAAACCTCATAGTTTGCGAAATTCCCTACATTCTAAAAACAATATGTTTATTCTCTTAGACTAGTATAGGTTAACATAATTGTTCCATTGGTATATTCTCGTTGGTCTATTCTAGTAGTATTAAAACACAACCTATTTTAACATCTCAAGTGATCAGTTTAAAGGTAAATTACATGCAGAAGGTTAAACTGTAAATTTTTAAATTCAAATTACATGCAATCAGATAACAAAAATAATGCTAATTTGCATATAATCCAAATCAAGGGAGAAATAAACTTAAATCATACTCACAATGGTTGAACACGACATAAATTTTATTGTAAAATCCAAAGTAAACAAAGTTACAATGATCTCACCAATGTTCTTCGCTGAATTACGCGAAGTCACAAAATAATATCTGAATTTCCACCCACTTTAAGTATAATAATAATAGAACACACTTACTCTCTCTTGGGAGAACTCTCACAAACTCTCACTCTTCCAAGGATCCCTCTGCGGAAGCGTAATTAAAGGTTGTGATAATCAATTCTCCCGGAACTCACTCCACTCTCTATCTTCTTCCTCTAAGTATTACTCCAATGTTTGAGCAATAAGGAATTGCGGGGGAGAAAACTCTCCTTCATTCAAAATTACTTCATTTGTTGTCGTTGATCACTACATAGACATGAACCAACTTAACTTTCGATGTCAATTGGCTGGCGCAGAAGTTCCTCCCTGAAGAATCAAAATTCTCCTCATTCTGTCTTGCCCCACTGCTTAGTGCTTGGAATGACATCCATGTCTTCTTGGGTTGGCGTACCTATGCTGTTAGGCACTCCTGTAGGTGGCACCAGCATTCCACAAAAGTGGCGCATAAGTTCTTAGAGCGGCGCCTTGAGGCCATTAAAAGTGGTGCCAAGGTTCCACTCTCTCTGTTACAAGAGTGGTGTGGGATGAAGATGACGCTTGCTTCCTTCTAATGTGGCATCAAAGTGTTGAAGTTAGCGCCTAATTTCTCCCAATGTGATGCCAAAGTTTCAATCTCTTCGTTAGGGGCATGGGAGAAGTGAAATAACTGCGACGTGCCTTTGCAATTATTTTCATAAATACAACATCAGTTGCGTACATACGCCATAAAATGGTGTAGTTATGCCGCTCTGAATTTTGTGGCATCCAAATAGTACTGAGCTTCTTTCAAGCTTTGTAAACTGCAAATAACATAAAAAATACTTAGAAAAGCATAAATATAATACAAATAGTATAAATACAGTTGAAAAATATATCATAAATTTGATACACATCAGTATCTGTATGGTCCCCATAAGATGTAATTGAATTAATTGAACTTCTATAATAAAGTTTTATAATGATTTGAAACATAAATAATGCATAGTTAAATAGATTTTCTTACTTGTCTGACTTTGGAAAAGTCCATCAATATTGTCGTTGTAGAGTTGATCATGATTGGTTGGTTGTTCACGCACATAAACTTATTTAATTATGAGATATTCTTATCATTGATTTTCACATATAAATAGAAGAAAATATGAACAAGTAAAAAAGTTATGATGTTACTTATGCTCGTTGCCTATGCTTCATTCATCGACCTCTTTTGAATATTGGATGCAAGAAGTTGGTATGTTGACCCAATGACAATCTTGTAACCAATACAATTGACCATTTTGGCACACCATGAATTAGTAGCATCTTTGAGTTATTTTGATAGATTAATTAAAATTGTAGCTCTAATGAAAAAATTGGAGATGCACTTTAATACTTTTAGCAGAGTTAAATACTAAAAATGAATCTCCTAGCAAAAAGCATTATGTATGAGAAAATAATCGAATATATATAGTATGTTAGGTCAAATATTTCAACAAAACGTAAATATGGCATAAGATACCCAATAAAGAGGCATGTATGTCTATGTTTAGGACAGACCCATTCAAAATGTGGATGTTGCTAAATCCTTAAAATGATGGTAGATAATGTTTGGGGTTGGATGACTTATTGCAAATCATTGCAGTTATTTATACCAACCATCTTATGGCATACTACTTGTTGGTCATCATCAGATATTCTTAGAATCGACCTAACATCCTATAACATAATGATTATCTCATCTATAAGTAAATGGAATGTGTTTGTTTGGTGAAGCCAAATCTTAGTTATTGAATAAAAAAATCATAATATAATCTCATGTACTATAAATGCATGATACAATTAATGAAATTTTTTTGCAGCCAATTGATGAAGTGAGGGTAGTTAGACTACCATTCTCCCACCATGTCCAAATATGAAGAAGCCTCCTAAATTAAACCTTATTTCAAGCGAGTTGTAGTTAGATAAAAACTATAACATATCATAACAAACATATTATTTATAGCACAAAACTAAAAGCAAATTTAAGTTGAAGTTGGTATATTATTTGGATGTGGTTTTGTGTGTCTCCCTCATAAATTTGTTATTATCATGTGAACCTCGACAGATGTGGGGCCAATGTCAAGAGCATTAATGGCCTTAGGGACATGTTAAAATGCTTCTTTTTCATCCATCCACTTTGACATAATGGAATTTACATGTGGTATGAACCCCAAATCCCTTGGTTGAAAGGCTAAAATTTCCACCAATAGTCGATGATTTGTATAACATCTTCAAACTTCATAGAGAATGAGCACAAAATAAGTTACGATCTTATGAAATAAATGTATATTTAATCATGGACTAATTAATTCTTCTCATGATCATAATTGTCGATATAAATTTGTTCACATGTGATATATTTTGTTAATTTGAACTATAACAAAGTATGGGTTTGTTGGAAGAGGTGTGTAAACCAGTTTGAGAGATCATGAGCAAAAAATTGAATAGAAGCTCTCAAAAACATAAAACAAATAGAAAACAAGATTTAACTTGAAAAAACTTAATTGGAAAAATATGGAGTCCTGCTCCGCCTCCCTTGAAGATTTCATCTTAGGGCTTCTACGTCATAGTAAGTTACTTATAATAGGGTTATGCTTGTATACACTTTGCTCTTCTATATAAGAGTGTGTAACTGTTGTAAGTATTTGTTGATGAAAATAAAATAAAATCAGATGAAAGAGTGGATGACTTATCTTTCTTCGGGTTTGCCTTCTGTTTAATCCCGTCTTCATCATTCTTATTGTTTTCTTGTCTGCATAGATTTCGTTACATATTGCATGTTCGATCAGATATTGATTTGATTAAAATAATTATTAATAATTTACTTCAATATTTTATCTTCTACTTAAGTATTAAAACCAATGATTTATTGGGAAAAGAAAATAGGAGGATGTATATATATGCCACTCAATTCATATGAATTTATATATCTAACCCCTAAACTTCAATTTTTACATACATATGGCCTTACCTATGAAAAAAAAGATGTATTTCCTTCTTTAAAAGTTAAAATAGTTGCATTTCTTATATCATATATAAGCTTTGTGTGATGCAAATGAAAAGGTCAAAGTTTAGATATTAGCTATTTAATAAAATGGTAATTAGGTGATAAGCATGCAAAACGCCAACAAAGAAAATATCACAAAAATCGTCTAATTGATTCACAAAAATATCAAAACTGCCCATCACAGCCATCAGCTACGTCCTCCGCCATGGACGAGGGCAGAAAAATCACCACATGTACACTCAAAACTCCCCCGAATTCGCTCTTCTTGAGCTCTTTTCCTCCCCACTCTGAAAATTTCCACACGCTGAAAATTAAGCTCAGAAAAAGACTTCCAAAACTCCAAACTTTGTGCGGGCCACCGTCTACTCAACCACGTCCACATCCCCCCTCCTCCCCTTCCCAAAACTCAAACTCAAATCCTGCCTTTCAGGCAACTAATCTCTTCTATAAATCCCAGCCCCAACAATCCCCTCCCAAACCAACCACATGGCCTCTCACAGCCGCAGAAGACCAGGCTTACAAAAAGCAATGGCCACAGCAGATGCAATCTCGTCTTACTTAGCTTTGGGGCTTGCTCTGCTGATGCTAATGAGCACAATTAGGCCGCCGAGCTCTGCCGTGGAGGATCGAGAGCTCTTTCGTGGCGCCAAGCTGGGCGGGCTTCGGCCGTGCGATGAATTATATGTGGTGGGCGAAGGGGAGACTCTTCATACCATTAGTGCAAAGTGCGGAGACCCTTATATTGTTGAGCGAAATCCACATGTTAATGATCCTGATGACGTATATCCTGGTCTTGTGCTTCAGATTTTCCCTTCAGAGCCCAAGTAGGAGAAAGGAGGACGAATCTCCGATTGTTAGTGTGAAATAAATCTTCTGTATGTGGCCAGGAATCAGGAGTTAGAATACTGAAAAGGTTAAGTTGGTCAGCAGCTTTTTGTTCTGTTTCTGATAGAAGTGAAAAGGGAGAGATTAGCGTAGATCATAGTTCTTGCTGTGTTGCTACATCTGATTTGTTCTGTACGCGGCGAATTTTATCAAATACGAGATTGTAAACAATATAGTTGATTTAATACTTACATGAAGCAAAAAATGTTGAAATAAAATACAATTGTACATACATAGAGAAAAAAATTACTCCTTTTTGTCATCCTTCTTCTCTTTTTCATTTACTTTCTTCTTATCCACAACACTTTCTTTATACAACTCCTTTAGCTTGGACCATAAAATCTACTCGACCTCCTCTTTAAATGATTGTCCTTGATCATTTGGATTCATCATGATCTTGCTTGATGGATTAACTAAGGAACATAGCCTTATTAATTCAGAGTATTGCAGAGGATGTGAAGAAAAGACTAGCGATGAATTGTATTAGCTTTTACAACAAGTAGCTATACATTAAGTCAATTTTTATGCATCATATAAAGAGTGGTGTAAGGGATTCATGTAGCCAACCCCATTTGGTGGGATAAGGGCTTGTTATTGTTGTTGTTTTAGAGGGATTTTATACATTGGTGGAGGTTTTAATCACGTAGAATGGTTGGCCATTTCCTTGTGGGAGTGAATGGTACTATGAGGTGGTTATTATCTTCCTTCGAATTGATAAGCCCACGTTGGATTATTTATTTGTCTCGCAACTATTATAACCAGGTAGTGAGAGGTAACTTAGTGAATAACTCGAAAGCTTCATTACGAAATTTAATTTAACGCGATTTGATCCCATTAAATATAATATTATTTTAATGAAATTATAATCATAATGTGTTTTTATTATGAACATTGATGCATCATCAAGTAATAATTATCATCCACCATGAATCTCGAGATATTTTCTAGTAATAAACACTCTAGATTTAATTTCAGGATCATCCAGGGCCCAAATTTCAACATTTTAATAGGCAAACTGAGCGTCTCTATAAGATAAACTCAATGATACTAAAATTAGTTCAATCTAGGTTCAATCAAGTCTAGATCAAGCCAATAAGCCATAATTTGATTATTTGGATATTTAATTGAATGATCAAATGAACTCCAAATTCGACATGTTTATAGTCAAATCGAATGTCTTGAAAAAAAGAATACAATGAACTCAAGATTGCTAAATTCTGAGGTTATTAAGATATTAAATCATTAAAAAATCATCTATGATCAATAAGGATCAACTGGGATCGACTGATCGAGTGCATGGTCAGGAAAGTTTGTGCCCAAAAACTGAAATACCTCTCCAAAAGAGGCTATAAAAAGACCCTCTCTTCAATGGAGAGTGTGGAAGAAGAGGAATTCTAGAGCCCTTTCTGGAATGAAGATTTGGCAATAACTCCCGACCACCGTAGCTGTCGACCGTTATCGACCACCATCAACTACCACCGGATATCACAGCTTGTCGCCATTGACCTTCAACTATCAACAATCCTTGTTTGGAATCATGTATCCCAAATATGATTGTAATGTATAACACTTGTATTGAAGCCCGACAATAACTTTCATCCTCCTTAGTTATTGACCACATTTGATCAATGTCTATCGACCACCATCAATCATTGTCAGCCGTCACCACCTGCAATCGCCAACCTTTAGCCACCATCAACCACTGCTTATGGATGTCATAGCCATAATACAATATTTATTCTAATAGCTATATTTTCTTTACGCTGTATAAACACAAGCGCGGTGTTTACTATAAATTTGTAATCTCGTACTCTCTGAAAGAAAGGGTCCAATCACACATTATGGCCTCTATGAACAACTGACACTATTGCAGTCTCCAACTACGGGCTATGTAATAAACTAATGATATTGTAGTGACAAACTATGTCATATATGACCAACTGATAATATTGAGTCACCAACTAAAACTTACTACTATTACAACTTCCAACTACGGTCTTTATGGCTAACTGATGTTATTGTAGTTATCAACTACAGCCAATGTAGCCAACTAACGATATTGTAGTCACCAAATACAATTTATGTGGCCAATTAATGATCGATACTGTTACAACTTTTAACTGCAGCCTTTCTATGGGTTTTCCACATAAAATCATGGAGTCTCCCTAGTTAATTTTATTGTATATGTAAGTGTGCTGAATCTTCAGGCAATGATAAAACTTTAAATTATCAGTCCACCACTGCCAATTTTCTGACATGCAACAGACATGAAAGTCACGATAAATTTAGTATAACAATGAAGTTGTCTAGTTTCGTATACAAGAATGTGAAATATATTTTTTTTCATAAGACAACAAAGTCAAATGGTGTCGGTTGATGCAAATGTGAAAGCTTAACATTCAACCTTGGAGGATGATCTGGTAACCATATTTATTTCTTAACACTCTGTGAGACAAGGTTCCTTTAAGATAAGATAAATAAACTATATTTTAGTTTACCTCAAATGAAACTTTGGCCTCATTCAAGTTTGAGTTGGCATGGTCAGTGAGTGATATTTTTCTTAAATCAGTAGATTAGGATATAATGTTTTTCGAATGTTTCTAAGTAGTCTTTTGAACAAGTGGAAATCACATTTTAGTAGCAAATACATATGTTGCAATGTTGTTTCACGGAAAATGAGAGATCATTGAGGCGAGTCATGCTGTAAGTATTTAACATGATCAGCGAGATTTTTATATAATGTGGGATATTGAAGGATAGTTTAGAGGTGTTAGATGTGAGGAATTTAGAGAATGGGAGCAAGGAGAGGGTTGCGAAATGAGAAAGAGTTGAGATATATATATATATATATATATACATATGGAACTCTATTAGTTGTGGTGACAACTTGAATTCGAATGGAGTAGTTGATGATTAGTTGCTTCAGACTGAAGGAAAAGTATTTATTTTTGAATGAGTGCTAACAAAGATTGAATTTGAGAGGGACTCTATGAGTTGTGCTGAGAACTTCAATTCAAATGGAGTTGTTGATGATCAGTTGCTTCAGACTGAAGTAAAATATATATTTTTGAACGAGTGTTAACAAAGATTAGATTTTTGATTGGGGTTAACAAAGCTTTAAGATTGCATCCAAAAATATGAATGTTATCTATGTAAATGAGTAGCTTGAAGTTAATGGTAGAAAAAAAAAAGAGAAGGTTGAAAGTGCAAAATTAAATTCTTTGTTATTACAGTCATTAGAGACTGTTTTAAACACTTAATGTTGTCCTTTTTTAGTTCATAGATGGCTATTGGGTGATTGGTTGTTGAATTGGTATAGATTATAATTTTAAAAACTTGATAGGTGGAGGAAAAATCAATGATAATGAATAGGATTATGACTCACGATCATTGTGCAACCAAAATATGACAATGTTGTACATACTATATAGATTTTATGTTAGATAGCATTAGGCTATGCACTAGTTTCTCATAAGGATGTGGTGGAATTCATTCTAACATTGGCGCAATTTGTTAAATTTAACAGACTTTTATGGTTTTCTGAATGTTGGTAGAAGTATTGAGATGTAGAACAAAGAAGTGGCTAGGAGTTGTGATCGTGGAGCATAATGTTAAAGCTAAGTTTTGATTAATATTTGTTGGAGATAAATTATAAGCTTCTATTAGGAGACTATTTGACCTACATCCTTTATTTAATTTTTAAAATTTAAAATTATGTTTTTTACGAGTAATTTATATGAATTAATGGAAGATTTGTTGGCTCTATTTCATTGGACACCTTTTCCTATATCATCTCATTGAATCTCTAGTTATAGGCAATCTCTCAAAGAGAAAAATGAAGAACACACCCATCAGTTCTATAGAAAAAGATTCATCCAAAATAATCTTAAATCCAGTTATCCTACATTGAGTCTTATCAATGTCTTCTCTAACACCATCAGACAAGTATTTGGAGGAAGAAGACGAGTGTTTCAGATTTTTAACTATTTGTTGTTATTTCAATTGATTAAATAAGAATTAATTAAAATTTAACTCAATTTTAATGATAAGCGTGATTTGTGAGATATGATGATTTATATAATTAATTATATTTAATAAATTTTATAAACTACTAGTTTTTTTTTTTGGAGGGGGTGATTAATTAGGTTATCACTATCAGTTAATTATAATTTAGTTAATAAAATTTGAATGGATGAGCAGTTATGCTGATTGAATCAAGTAAATTATATATGTATATATATATAGTTCAACAAATAACTTGTTCAATACTCGATATTAGGTTCAGTAATAGGTCGTATTATATATATATATATATATATATATATATTATTTAAATGTGTAATTATTAAATTATTCTTAATTTACATATGTAGTGAAAATAATTATAAACTAATTTGTTTCGAAATCAATATAACAAAATGTTCCAAATATATAAATTTCTAAATTCTGAAACAATTTGTCAAATAATTTATAATTTTAATGCCTATCTTACCATATAATCTTTAAAATTTAACCAACATAAAATTAAAATAAATATTAGTCTAAAAAATTATTTAAATTTTATTTGATTTAAAGTCGCTGTACAAAGAAAAAACAAATGCCCAACTTGCTGCCAAACGGCCTCTCTCCTCACCATGGATTCAGCGCCCTCCTGTGACACAGCACTCTCTTTAATCAGAAATAAAAAATGTGAACATAGAAATTTGCGTTGACTTTGGTCCTGGTCGTCCCAAATGTGTTCTTGGACTTTCTCAACAAAAATTAAATGGCTGATGTGGTTAGCCGTCAGCAGTCTTGAATGGATTTTAGATTTTAAATATTCATCTGAATTATATTGTAACTATTAATTAATTAGTTAATTATATATATATATATATATATATATATTCAAATAGAAAATATATATAAAAAGAAATGGTTATGGTTAGCTGAGGGGAGCCTTTATTGCGTCGAACACCGCACATAACACCACACGTAAATTTATGTGTTGTGTCCGATATGGACCATTGAAATACATATTTTTATTTTTATTTTTTTGTGTTAAAGTGGGGAAAAAGTTTAATTTTTTGAACGGTGCAGATCGGACACCGCATGCAAATTTTGGACTTCGTAGAAGGACTCGTTAGCAAGGGACTTCG